GGAATATTCTCCACTAAGAAACTCTGGAGGATAGTAGGAATCTTCTCTAATAGGAAACACTGGCGGACACTAAGAATCTTCTCCACTAGGAAACACTGAAGGAAACTAGGAATCTTCTCCACTAGGAAACACTGGGGGGGCACTAGGAATCTTCTCCACTAGGAAACACTAGGGGGCACTAGAAATCTTCTCCACTAGGAAACACTGAAGGATGCTAGGAATCTTCTCCACTGGGAGACACTGGAGGACACTAGGAATCTTCTCCACTAGGAGACACTGGATGGAAGTTTAACCAAGCCTTGAGCTCATTCTAAATGTTTATCAATTATTCCTGGCTTGCTCAAAGTCACTATAATGATACTAACCATAGAGAAGAGACACGAGAAAAAGAATTTGTGGCCCCTTGAGTCTTCCTCTGAAGTTAGTTGTTAGGATTTCCTTCTTTGGTGACCCACTGAGTGGTCCATTACTTGAGATTGGCTGCATTTTATGCTTATGCAACCCACACTTTGCCTGCCTTTTTATATTACTACTTGCTGTTTATGACACCATGGAGTTTTTAGTGCGGCTTCCTGTTTGTAATGTTTTTTGCAATCGTCTTCACACTACCAGACCATTCTCGGGGCTGCAGTTCCTCTGAGCTCCACAATTTGGTGATCTCACTTCTACCCAGATAGGAAGTCTCTATGGAAGACAGGAAGTGATGTCAGGTATAAAATAGGAAGTTCCAGGCGAGTTGGGAGGAAGTAGAGAGGAGACATTGCTGGAAGTGGCAGCAGAGGAGGTAATAAGATCGTATTTGCTAATTACATCCAGAAACCCCCCGTCACGTTCGTCCTCTTCCTCCACCGTCACGTCCGTCCTCTTCCTCCACCATCACATCCGTCTTCTTCCTCCACCGTCACGTCCGTCTTCTTCCTCCATAGTCCTTTTCTTCCACCGTCATGTCCGTCCTCTTCCCCCATCGGCATGTCCGTCTTCTTCAGCGTCACATCTGTCCTCTCCCTCCACCGTCACGTCCTTCCTCTTCATCGTCACATCCATCCTCTGCCTCCATCGTCACGTCCGTCCTCTTCCTCCATCGTCACGTCCGTCCTCTTCCTCCATCGTCATGTCCGTTCTCTTCCTCCATCGTCACGTCCGTTCTCTTACTCCATCAGTTCCGTCCTCTTCCTCCACCGTTAAGTCCGTCCTCTTCCTCCACCGTCACATCTGTCCTCTTCCTCCACAATCACTCACCTCCTCAGTCTATACTAGTGGACTCTATGCTATTACAGGATGAGGGTTTTATTTAGAGATGGATTTATAATGCATTTGTTTGTATTTAATGAGTTTAGAAGTAATGAGGCGGAAATAACTATTCCTGATGTCTGTGAAGGGTCAACCCAACGGATGTGTCTGGATGGTGACTGTATCATTGTGTGTGTCAGGTTCCTACAAGGTGTCAGGGTGTCACTGTCTATTTCTCCATGGAGGAGTGGGAGTATTTAGAAGGACACAAGGACCTCTACAAGGACGTCATGATGGACAATCAGCCGCCCCTCACATCACAGGGTAAGAGGAGACTTTATTGGAAAGGAGAGCGCAGTATGGAGGATCCACCTAGATCCCCCATCATCTGGGGTGTGTGTGTTTCCTACAGATGGATCCAGTCATGGGAATCCACCAGAGAGATGTCCCCGTTCTCTGTATTCCCGGGATTCCACACAGGAAGGTCACACCATCCCTCACCATCATCAGGTAGATGGATCCAGTCATGGAAACCACCAGAGAAATGTCCCCGTCCTCTGTATTCCCAGGATTCCACACAGGAAGGTCACACCATCCCTCACCATCATCAGGTAGATGGATCCAGTCATGGGAACCCACAAGAGAGATGTCCCCATCCTCTGTATTCCCAGGATTCCACACAGGAAAGTCACACCATCTCTCACCATCATCAGGTAGATGGATCCAGTCATGGGAACCCACCAGAGAGATGTCCCCGTCCTCTGTATTCCCAGGATTCCACACAGGAAGGTCACACCACCATCCCTCACCATCATCAGGTAGATGGATCCAGTCATGGGAACCCACCAGAGAGATGTCCCCGTCCTCTGTATTCCCGGGATTCCACACAGGAAGGTCACACCATCCCTCACCATCATCAGGTAGATGAGGAACAATCACTGATAGTATCATTAGGATTTGTACATTATCTGCATTGTTACCATTGATGTCATTTTTTATTATACTGTATATTTAGAGTGGAAACCTGAGATATTCTACAGTTGATGGTCAGGAAGAGAGAAAAGAGGAGGAGGATGAGGATGGGGTGATGGAGGAGTCAGAGATTCCAGAAGGACACAAAGATCTGTACCAGGACACCGTGGTGGAGTCATCCAGCTACAGGAATCCACCAGAGAGATGTCCCCATCCTCTGTATTCCCGGGATTCCACACAGGAAGGTCACACCATCCCTCACCGTCATCAGGTAGATAATTGACAATTACTGGTAGTTCTGATTTATACACGGCATGTTTGTTACAATGAATGTTTTATTATATATTCAGAGTGGAATCCTCGGGGATTATAATATTGATGTTAAAGAAGAGTATAAAGAGGAAGATGAGGAGTATGGAGTGATGGAGGAGTTTTCAGAAGGACACAAGGACATGATGGAGCCACCTAATACCAGGAACCCCCCAGAGAGATGTCCCTGTCCTCTGTATTCCCGAGATTCCACACAGGTCAATATTAAAGAAGAGATAAAAGAGGAGGAGGATGAGAAAAACTCACCAGAGAGATGTCACCGTCCTCTGTATCCTCGGGATTCCACACAAGAAGATCACAAAACTATGCAGAACGTTATAAGGTTGGTGAGGTGGAACATCTAGAACATGAAAGTGACTTAAGGAAGAGAACCTACGTGATGATATTTTCTATGCTTTCTCTTAAAGTTCAGTAGAATTTATTTTAACTCTTTCTCTTGATGTAGAGTGGAGATCCAATCGATATAGAATTTGAGGTGAAATCAGAAGAAGAGGCGTATGTGAGGGATGATCAGCAGTCTATGGAGGAGGATGGAAGAACGGGGACATTTATAGAGGAGGACACTCCTACAGAGATCAGCACAGGTGGGTCATGAACACTAAATCCATTCCTCCACCCATACTGCTCACTGATTGGTCCAGAGTAGAGCGGGGGCGGAGTGATATCACTTTCCTCAGCTGTGTTCCCCATCCTGTGTTCCTGGATTTCTCTCGGGTAATCTTCCTTCTCTGTGCTGCAGACACAATTTATGTCTCTAGACTGGATTTATGGAGATTCTGGGGTTCAGCCGGCAGAAATTGTTGGTTTTTACTCTTCTGTTCACCCACTTGTCATCCTACTGCTGTATACAAATGGCCGGATGGCTGCCTCCTGAGGACAGTAGGCCACTTTCAAATGGCCCCCTTTTGCATCATTCATGGGCACCTTCTAGTGTGCACAGTGGCATACTCTGTAATCGCTATGTGCACTGGATATGGTGGATCAGAGCAGGGTACAGAGCCCATGAAATGGTCCCTACACCGTGTGATCACTGTGACCAATCACAGTCACCACATATGTAAACAAGGGCTACATGTTGATGGACAGCACTCTGTTTCCTATCACACCGATTGGCTGTGAGAAGAATTAAAATGTTTACAAAGCGATCGACAGAGGGTTTTTTTTTTTGTTTGACTCAGTCACCAGTGCAGCCAGCCACAGTGTCTGTGATCACTGCCACACCAGTCCCAGTGCCACCAGATAAGTGTAGCCAACAATAGTGTTCCTGATCACCCCCACACCAAATGCTGTGTCACCAGAATATCAACAGTTGTAGAGAGCATTGGAGCTTATTAAATGTCTATAAAGTGTGATGACATCCTCCAACTAGAAAGTGATAATGGGGGAGGAGCCAATAGCCCAATGATGGTAGTCATCAGGATGGGGGAGGAGCCAATACCCCAATGATGGTGGTCTTCAGGATGGGGGAGGAGCCAACACCCCAATGATGGTAGTCATCAGGAGTGGGGAGGAGCCAATACCCCAATGATGGTGGTCTTCAGGATGGGGGAGGAGCCAATACCCCAATGATGGTGGTCTTCAGGATGGGGGAGGAGCCAATACCCCAATGATGGTGGTCTTCAGGATCGGGGAGGAACCAATAGCCCAATGATGGTGGTCTTCAGGATGGGGGAGGAGCCAATAGCCCAATGATGGTGGTCTTCAGGATGGGGGAGGAACCAATAGCCCAATGATGGTGGTCTTCATGATGGGAGAGGAGCTAATAGCCCAATGATGGCGGTCTTTAGGATGGGGGAGGAGCCAATACCCCAATGATGGTGGTCTTCAGGATGGGGAAGGAACCAATAGCCCAATGATGGTGGTCTTCACGATGGGGGAGGAGCCAATACCTCAATGATGGTGGTCTTCAGGATGGGGGAGGAGCCAATTCCCCGATGATGGTGGCCTTCAGGATGGGGGAGGAGCCAATACCTCAATGATGGTGGTCTTCAGGAGGGGGGAGGAACCAATAGCCCAATGATGGTGGTTTTCACGATGGGGCAGGAGCGAATAGCCCAATGATGGCGGTCTTTAGGATGGGGGAGGAGCCATTACCCCAATGATGGTGGTCTTCAGGGTCAGGATGGGGGAGGAGCCAATACCCCTGTGATGGTGGTTTTCAGGATCAGTCCAGTCTTCCTCTTGGTTGTCTTCCCCCCATCCTCACCTCTGGTGGGGCTCCTGTCTAGTAATCCTCTTTGTCTTTTGTATTTTAGTCCATGGCCGGGAGATGAGGAAAACCTCCGAGGATTTTCTCACTTTGTCTCCAGACTGGAAAGTAGAAGATGAGGACATCACACAGTATAGTCCAGGAGAAAACCCGGCTCCCTCCAATGTCCATCCGGCACCACACAGTGTAGATGGACCATCGGATTCCTCGTATCCTAAGGACCCTCAGACTGTGCGGGACCGGGTCGGTCTTCCAACAGGGAAGAGCTTCTCCTGTACGGAGTGCGGGAAGGGTTTTGCATGGTGTTCAATGCTTATCAGACATCTAAGATCTCACACGGGGGAGAAGCCGTATTCCTGTCCTGAGTGCGGGAAATGTTTTTCACAGAAAGCCAGTCTTTCTGTACATCAGAGACGTCACACAGGAGAGATCCCATATTCCTGCCCCGAATGTGAGAAATGTTATCCCCGAAAATCAGATCTTCTCTTGCATCAGAGATCTCACAAAAGGGAGAAGCTGTATTCCTGCTCTGAGTGCGGGAAAGGCTTTCCACGGATGTCAAAACTTGTTGCACATCAAAGATCTCACACGGGGGAGAAACCCTACTCCTGTCCTGAGTGCGGGAAATGTTTTTCTGTGAAATCAACACTTGTCAAACATCTGAAATTGCACACGGGGGGGAGAGGCCGTATCCCTGCCCTGAGTGCGAGAAATGTTTTACATGGAAAGCCTCACTTGTCATGCATCAGAGATCTCACACAAGGGAGAGGCCGTTTTCCTGTCCTGAGTGCGGGAAATGTTTTGAATGGAGATCCGGACTTGTCGCACATAAAAAATCTCACGCAGCGGCCGCGAAGCCGTATTCCTGTCCTGAGTGCGGGGAATGTTTTAGATGGAATTTTGACCTTGTTGCACATCAAAGATCTCACATACAAGAAAAAAGGCATCCCTGTCCTGAGTGTGGGAAATGGTTTGGATTGAAATTAGACCTTGTTGCACATCAAAGATGTCACACAGGGGAGGCTCCGTTTTCCTGTCCTGAGTGCGGGAAATGTTTTACGCTTAAATTATCGCTAGACAGACATCAAAGATCTCACAGGGGGGAAAAAAAGCCGTTTTCCTGTCCTGAGTGCGGGAAACGTTTTACGCTTAAAGCATCGCAGGACAGACATCAAAGATCTCACGCATGCAAGAAGCCTCATCCCTGACCCAAGTGCGGGAAATGTTTATTAGTCAAAGCCTAGCTTTCAGTACCCTGGCAATATCACCGGCTGTATTCCTGCAGGGAAAAAAGCCAAATTCCCAAGTGTGGGAAAAGATTTTCAAACCCATCTTTTTTTTTTTTTCTCTGGAATCTCACTCAGGGAAAGAGGAACACCCTGATAAACACACGGCTGCGCGCTCCCTCTTCATAGTGTAAGAAACACTTCATAGGAAAATCAGAGGTCATCAAGGTTTTGTCTGTCTGCTAGGAGAAGAGAAGGGAGGTGTTTCATTGCTAGTGGAGTCCCTCCTGTTGTGGAGTCTGATCTCTCCTCCTCTCCAGCAGGAGCTGCCATGGTAAGAGGCGTGATGAAGAGTGGGGGAAATCAGACTAAAGGGCAAGGCTAACTATGTTCCTGCACAGATCTGGGAGGAGCCGAATCTGATGGGGTGTATATTCCACCCGGAGCTGCAGCATGCGCAAAGTGTAGGCTAATGAAGATTTAAAGATTTATTATTTATATTGAAATTCATTCTTTTCTTTGCAAACGTATTAATAAAAGCCTGCTTTCAGAATGTTGTTACTAAATGTTTTTTTTTCTTTTGTTCCTCTTTTTTTTTTTCACCATGATAAATCAGCCATGTTGCTTTTGGTTTCAAGAAGCCGACTCTCCCCCTTCTCATAGACCTCAGGATGGCTGTAGTATACTCCAATGATAAGGCCATCAGTCCATAGACCCATCTATCATTCCACCCGTAATTCCTCCTCCGTACCATCACCTTGTTGGAACAGCCGACTCTCTCCCTTCTGATAGACCTCAGGACGTCTGTAGTATACTCCAATGATAAGACCATCAGTCCATAGACCCATCTATCATTCCTCCCGTAATTCCTCCTCCGCACCATCACCACCTCCAACCACAAGGTCATTCTTCTCTTCCTTTTTTCCCTTTTCTCCTTTTCCTTCTCCATATTGTAACACTACAAGTACGGCCCATCCTTTAGGTTTTAGTCTCCATCTTGTGTCTTAGTAGTTTGGTGTTCCCAGCTTGTCCTTGTTGGAACAGCCGACTCTCCCCCTTCTCATAGACCTCAGGACGGCTGTAGTATACTCCAATGATAAGTCCATCAGTCTATAGACCCATCTATAATTCCTTCCGTAATTCCTCCTCCGCACCATCACCTTGTTGGAACAGCCAACTCTCCCCCTTCCCATAGACCTCAGGACGTCTGTAGTATACTCCAATGATAAGTCCATCAGTCCATAGACCCATCTATCATTCCATCCCGTAATTCCTCCTCCGCACCATCACCTTGTTGGAGCAGCCGACTCTCCCCCTTCTCATAGACCTCAGGACATCTGTAGTATACTCCAATGATGAGTCCATCAGTCGATAGACCCATCTATCATTCCTCCCGTAATTCCTCCTCCGCACCATCACCACCTCCAATCACAAGGTCATTCTTGTCTTCCCTTTTCCACTTTTCTCCTTTTCCTTCTCCATTTCCTAGCACTACAAGTACGGCCCATCCTGTAGGTTTTAGTCTCCATCTTGTGTCTTAGTAGTTTGGTGTTCCCAGCTTGTCCTTGTTGGAACAGCCAACTCTCCCCCTTCTCATAGACCTCAGGACGTCTGTAGTATACTCCAATGATAAGTCCATCAGTCCATAGACCCATCTATCATTCCTCCCGTAATTCCTCCTCCGCACCATCAACTTGTTGGAACAGCCGACTCTCCCCCTTCTCATAGACCTCAGGACATCTGTAGTATACTCCAATGATAAGGCCATCAGTCCATAGACCCATCTATCATTCCTCCCATAATTCCTCCTCCGCACCATCACCACTTCCAAACCACAAAACCATCTTTCTTCCTCACTCTCACATCACATCTAACATAGAGAAACCCCCCTCCATCTTTTCTATGTCCTGTGTCCCTCTAAACAAGAGGATCAGCATTAATACAAACAGCGTGTAATCCCTCCATTGCAATCACAGGACAGTAGGGAGTGCAGCTCCAGATGGCAGGTATGCCTGGAAACACACAGACCTTGAGGTCAGGAGCACACATATACACAGGACCAAGCAGAAAACAGACTAAAAGTGCACTGGGAGACACTGAGGCCGACTGCAGAAATAGAAGATGATAAAAAACAGCAAACAGGAATTCACAGAGGGGCTGGAAGGCTGAATGTTGGCAGGAATTCACAGAGAGGCTGGAAGGCTGAATGTTTGCAGGAATTCACAAAGGGGCTGGAAGGATGAATGTTGGCAGGAATTCACAGAGAGGCTGGAAGGCTGAATGTTTGCAGGAATTCACAAAAGGGGTTGGAATGCTGAATGTTAGCAGGAATTCACAGAGAGGCTGGAAGGCTGAATGTTGGCAGGAATTCACAGAGAGGCTGGAAGGCTGAATGTTGGCAGGAATTCATAGAGGGGCTGGAAGGCTGAATGTTGGTAGGAATTCACAGAGGGGCAGGAAGGCTGAATGTTGGCAGGAATTCACAGAGGGGCTGGAAGGCTGAATGTTGGCAGGAATTCACAGAGGGGCTGGAAGGCTGAATGTTGGAAGGAATTCACAGAGAGGCTGGAAGGCTGAATGTTGGCAGGAATTCACAAAGAGGCTGGAAGACTGAATGTTGGCAGGAATTCACAGAGGGGCAGGAAGGCTGAATGTTGGTAGGAATTCACAGAGGGGCAGGAAGGCTGAATGTTGGCAGGAATTCACAGAGGGGCTGGAAGGCTGAATGTTGGCAGAAATTCACAGAGGGGCTGGAAGGCTGAATGTTGGCAGGAATTCACAGAGAGGCTGGAAGGCTGAATGTTGGCAGGAATTCACAAAGAGGCTGGAAGACTGAATGTTGGCAGGAATTCACAGAGAGGCTGGAAGGCTGAATGTTGGCAGGAATTCACAGAGAGGCTGAATGTTGGCCAAGGTACACAATGGAGATAGAAGCACAGTGACACTGGAATGCTCAAAAGACACAACAGGTGCTAATATATACTGTAGGTTGAAAGACATTGGGGGTGCAGGGCTGCCACATCTTTTCAATGCTGCTAGATGACTAATCCTGATCTATTGGAGGAGAGCTCAGGTGTCTAGCAGAGCAGATTGGATAAAGAAAGTAGAAGATAAAATGGAGGCTGAGGAATGTATAGCTACATGCAAGGGGAGATACAAAATGTTCCACACCATATGGGCCACTGGGATTCATTACAGTTTCCTTGGCCTCAAATGCAATGACTGTATCTCCCCCTTCCCCCCTAAAGAGTCACACCTTGTCTCCACCCCTTGTCCACCTCCAAGCACCATCCCTTGGTTCCACTTCCTACCCACTACCCAGTACCACCCCTTTTACAGAACCAGGTATGATTTTACAAAAATAATCTGGATGGAATGTGTTAATGATAACAAGAAAAAGTAGTAAAATAAATTCCCTTTAGCCAGAAGCAATAGACCCCCTCCACAACACCAATAGATCTCCAGCAAAAACAGTAGGGCCCCAATAACTGTTCTCTCAGTGTCATCATCCCGTGTTCTGTCCATTTCTACACTGACACCAACATCACCTCCACCATCCCGGAGTATTTGTTGTCTCACCATGTTTCCAGTGATGGAGATCCAGAGACTGACCGGAGTTTTCTTCTCAATGTCACCAGTCCACCTTTTTTGGGGTGCTGGGTCTTTCTATGACTACTCGGGACCCCAACCTCTTCTATATCTATAGGATGAAGATTTCTGTCATATTTACTAAGAAGCTGAAGGAAATGTCCATGATGTAGATGAGGGTCACATATAGATTGAGCGGCATCACCCTTCACTCTGTAACCAAGACCTAGCCTGGCAAAGCCCAGAATGATACCGATGAGTCTCTGACCAATCTCACGGTTTGGATGGATGTTCTCCTTTGGATAATTTCCAGATGACCATGAATTAGAGTTCCAGGATCTCCCCGGTGTCCTGCAGACAGATAGACATTTCCCGATGCCTCATGTTGTACAGATTCCTCGTGTTTCCCGATACCGGCTCATACATTGGACTTGTCCAACCTTCCAACCAGGAGTGAATGGACTTGGCAAGATACTCTGCCTATGGTGAGGACATGTTATTCACACCTGGTATGGTTCAGGAAGGGGCATACTCACTCTCCACTCTGCATTGCCCAGCCAGGCTTCATGCTCAGATGAGGATCTGGTATGGATTTTGGGGGGCACTCTGCATTTTTTTCTTTTCTGTTTTTTTGTATAGGGTTTACTTTTAAACTTCATACCAGACCTGAATGGTCTAGTATGAATTGTGTTTGGGTCAAACATGTTTTATTACCATTTTAGTTGCATTCACTTGTTAGCCAGGAATTTACAGTTGACAGCCAAATGGTCTGGGATGGGGGGGGGAGGGTTGAACATCACCAGGTGTTGGGGGGCCTGTGACCGCTGGCTCCCTATCGACCAGCTTGAGTGGAAAGCTGCCACATTTGGCAGCGATAGTGATACTGCAACTGGATCTTTAACTTGGCTGAGAACCCATTTAGTTCCGTTGTTCATTGATCACCCAAATTCTGTACAGACCTAGGTTCAATCCAAACCTGGAGATCATTCCAAGCAGTCTATTTATTGGTAACCAGTGGGAGAAGGATCCCCTTATATCAGTAGTCAGCGAGAGAAGGACATTCTTACATCATGAAATCATTGTTACTGAGAGACAGAAATTGTTCATTGCTGAAGGAACTCCTAGAACCCTTTGGAGGAACCCCTAGAACCCTTTGGAGGAACCCCTAGAACCCTTTGGAGGACCCCTGGCTGAGAAAGGCTGGACTAGGCAGTCATATATTTCTGTCCCCCTTGGTGGGAGTGGAGGTGACCCCTCTATGAGGACATACAGTCCATACACACCCAACACAAGGCCGGGGTCACACTACTAGACGGTTCTCGGGGCTGAAGTTCCTCTGAGCTCCACAAGGTGGGGATCTCACTTTTACCCAGACAGGAAGTCTCTGTGGAAGACAGGAAGTGATGTCAGGTACCAACAGGAAGTGATGTCAGGTACAGACAGGAAGTTCCAGGCGAGAGGTGAGTTGTGAGAAAGAGAGGAGACATTGCTAGAAGTGGCAGTAGAAGAGGTAATAAGATATTATTTTCTTTTTACACCCAGTAACCCCCTGTCATGTCCGTCCTCTTCCTCCACCGTCACGTCCGTCCTCTTCCAACACTGTAACGCCCGTCCTCTTCCAACACCGTCACGCCCGTCCTCTTCCTCCACTGTCACGCCCATCCTCTTCCTCCATCGTCGCATCCGTCCTCTTCCTCCATAGTCACGTACGGGACCGGAACATTCTCCTCATTGTGGAGATGTCACCTTTCCCACCAATCACCTTCTCACCTCCTCAGTCTGTACTGACCCATTATATGACTTCTATCATCACTACTTATAGTTACCTGTCGAGGCCGAAACCTGTATAGACCACATAGCTGCCCAGAGGAGGATGGAGGAGGACCAGAGTCACATGACTGAGAAGATACTCAACCTCACCCTGGAGATCATCTACCTGCTGACCGGAGAGGTGAGGAGGATTCTGGGAGGTCACATGACATCACTCCTATCTCTATTAATAAAACACAGACCTGACCGGAGAGGTGAGGAGGATTCTGAGAGGTCACATGACAACACTCTCATCTCTATTAATAAAACACAGACCGGAGAGGTGAGGAGGATTCTAGGAGGTCACATGACATCACTCTCATCTCTATTATTAATACACAGACCTGACCAGAGAGGTGAGGAGGATTCTGGGAGGTCACATGACATCACACAGACCTGACCGGAGAGGTGAGGAGGATTCTGGGAGGTCACATGACATTACTCTGGTCTAGTCTGGCCAATAGACCATGTTCTTCTTGTAGACATGTAGATGATGTCAGATGATTGATATCGGTTTCTCTTTCTCCTGATCTGTAGGATTATGTTGTAGTGAAGAAGGCTAGTGGGGAGCCAATCTCAGGAGGATGGAGCAGGACCCAGAGCCCCACCATGGTGCCTCCCCCTCGTTCTCCCATACCTGAGAGGAACAAAGAGCAGAAGATCCTGGAACTGACCACCATGATGGTCCATCTGCTGACAGGAGAGGTGAGCGGTGCCGGGAATTCTGGGGCATTCTCCAGTAACAGACAAGGGATGTGTCTGGATGGTGACTGTATCATTGTGTGTCAGGTTCCTATAAGGTGTCAGGGTGTCACTGTCTATTTCTCTATGGAGTTACAATACATTGAATGTCCTTTTGAATGTTCAGAGTGGAATCCTCGGGGATGATAATATTGTCGTAAAAGAAGAGTATAAAGAGGAGGATGAGGAGTATGGAGTGATGGAGGAGTTTCCAGAAGGACACAAGGATATGATGGAGCCACTTAATACCAGGAACCCACCAGAGAGATGTCCCTGTCCTCTGTATTCCCGGGATTCCACAAAGGAAGGTCACACCATCCCTCACCATCATCAGGTAGATGGATCCAGTCATGGGAACCCACCAGAGAGATGTCCCCATCCTCTGTATTCCCGGGATTCCACACAGGAAGGTCACACCATCCATCACCATCATCAGGTAGATGGATCCAGTCATGGGAACCCACCAGAGAGATGTCCCCATCCTCTGTATTCCCGGGATTCCACACAGGAAGATCACACCATCCCTCACCATCATCAGGTAGGTGGGACGGAGCATCTAGAAAATGGAGTGAGATCATGGAGAAGATCTATAGACCTTACAAGATTATATTTTCTCTCCTTCTCTTGGTTTAGGGTGAAGATCTGACAGATATAAAAGTTGAGGTGAAATCAGAAGAAGAAGAGGCGTATGTGAGGGATGATCAGCAGTCTATGGAGGAGGATGGAATAACGGGGACATTTATAGAGGAGGACACTCCTACAGAGATCAGCACAGGTGGGTCATGAACACTAAATCCATTCCTCCACCCATATTGCTCACTGATTGGTCCAGATGATAAAGTTCTCATTGGATCTCTCTCTGTCTTTCTGGTTTGGGGAACCAATCAACTCCTGTCTAGTAATCCTCTTTTTCTTTTAGTCCATGGCCGGGAGATAAGGAAAACCTCCGAGGATTGTCTCACTTTGTCTCCAGACTGGAAAGTAGAAGATGAGGACATCACACAGTATAGTCCAGGAGAAAACCCAGTTCCCTCCAATGTCCATCCGGCACCACCCAGTGTAGATGGACCATCGGATTCCTCGTATCCTGAGGAACCTCAGACTGTGCGGGACCGGGCCGCCCTTCCAACAGGGAAGAGGTTCTCCTGTACTGAGTGCGGAAAATGTTTCGGTTTTAAATCCAAACTTAATGTGCATAAAAGATCTCACACAGGGGAGAAGCCGTATTCCTGCCCTGAGTGCGGGAAATGTTTTTTAGTAAAGTCCCATCTTTCCCGACATCAGAAAACTCACAAGGGTGAGAAGCTGAATTCCTGTCTTGAGGAACCTCAGACTGTGAGGGACGGTCCCATCCTTCCAACAGATAAAAGGTTTTCTTGTCCTGAGTGCGGGAAGTGTTTCAGTTTTAAATCCAAACTTAATGTGCATAAAAGATCTCACACAGGAGAGAAGCCGTATTGCTGCCCTGAGTGTGGGAAATGTTTTTTAGTAAAGTCCCATCTTTCCAGACATCAGAGATCTCACACGGGCGTGAAGCCATATTTCTGTTCAGAGTGTGGAAAATGTTTTGCACAAAGGGATAATCTTACAACACATCAAAGGTCTCACACAGGTGAGAAGCCACATCCCTGTCCTGAGTGCGGGAAATGTTTCAAATCAAAACGCAATCTTAATTTGCATAAAAGAACTCACACAGGTGAGAAGCCGTATTCCTGCCCTGAGTGCGGGAAATGTTTTTCAGCTAAGACACATCTGGGCAGACATAAGAAATTACACACAGGGAAGAATTTGTATTTGTGTCCTGAGTGCGGGAAATGTTTTGTAGATAAATCAGAACTTGTCACACATCAGAGCTCTCACACGGGGGTAAAGCTGCATTCCTGTCTTGAGTGTGGAAAATGCTTTTTAAAAAAATCATTACTTGTCAGACATCAAAGGTCTCACGCAGGAGAGAAGCCGTATTCCTGTCCTGAGTGCGGGAAATGTTTTTCACAGAAGTCCAGTCTTTGCAGACATCAGAGATGTCACACGGGGGAGAAGCCGTATTCCTGTCCAGAGTGCGGGAAATGTTACTCACAAAAGTGTGATCTTTCCAGACATCAGAGATCTCACATGGAGGAGAAGCCACATTCGTCTTCTGAGTGAGGGAATTGTTGGCCACCAAAGTCCTGTCTTCCTGTATGTCAGAGGTCTCACACAGGGAGAAGTCATGTTCCTGTCCTGGGTGCGGGAAATGTTTTTCAGTGAAGTCCCATCTTTACAAACATCAGAGATCTCACACGGGGGAGAAGCCACGTTCCTGTTCTGAGTGTGGGAAATGTTCCTCACTGAAGTCCTGTCTTCCTGTACAACAGTAGTCCCACACAACCCTGGAGGTGTATTAGTGCCATGAGTGCGGGAAATGTCTTCTAGATGAATGTTGCTGGACATCCCAGCTCTCGTGGGGAAGAAGCACACCCTGATATACTCCATGGCTGATCTTCATCATGGAAGAAACTGTTCATAATGAGGTCAAAGGTCACCAATGACGTGGATGAAGTGTGGGACCGGGTTGGCCATTGAGAAGAATAAAAATGGCGTCCTCACCTGTCATTGGCTGAGTGGATTTTGTGTTGTCAACTTTCACAATTTAATAAATTATATATATAATAATGTATATAAATATAAAATAAAAAGTTTGTTGAACGAATGTGACCGGCATTCGTCCAGTCATGACAGTCTATTGGACCATCGGCTCCATCTAGCAGAAAAAAAAATATCTGGAACTGCGGTGTTAATACTGCATTTTGGCCAGTAAATGGAGCTGTCGATCGTAGGAAACCGCTCCTTTCAGCCAGAATTTGCTGCGACTGGAGTGACGCTGGTTACAGATGTTCTATAAATCGATCCCGTAGTTTGCTTCGTTGGCTTCATAGGAATAACTGAGGTCCTACTCCACTTTTCCGTTTATTAGACATTGAAGAACAGAGGTTAAATAACCGCCTGCTTCCCTGGCCTATTTTACATGCAAAAATCTTTTTTTTGCTAGAAGATTACTTTGGACCCTGAAATATTTTGGGGGTACTGCATGGGGCAGGTGTGTCCATTAGGCAACCTAGGCTGCCTGCTAGGGGCGTCTGGGCACAGCACGTTATGAATGATCTTTCAGCAGAGGGGAGGAAGAAAGGACAGAGGAAGATGCTGGGGGTCTGGGGCCAATGTAGGAGCTGAGCTGCTGTTAACTTCCAGTGTTCCTCTCAGACTCAGTCATTTACTGCAAGCCTGCTGGCAACCGATGAGCGGAGCTCCAGCCCTTCTCTTCCCATCTATCAGCGGAGGTGGAGCTGCATCTGCGGAGGAAGGGAATGTCTGACTCTTGATGTCTCAAGTCTGGTAGTGTGACCCCGGCCGACCGAACATCCATCACATGTGCAATGTGTCGGTGAGTGATGACATCATCACCATCCCACAGCCTGCTTTTCCAGTACCTGTTGCTCTGTGTCATTGAGTGATGACATCATCACCATCCCACAGCCTGCTCTTCCAGTACCTGCTGCTCTGTGTCAGTGAGTGATATCATCACCATCCCACAGCCTGCTCTTCCAGTGCCTGCTGATCTGTGTCAGTGAGTGATGACATCATCACCATCCCACAACCTGCTCTTCTAGTGCCTGCTGATCTGTGTTGGTGTTGCTGTGTTGTGTCTGTGTAAGCCGTGTACCGGGGTGGGCTCCCCAGGATACAGTGAAGTCACAAACAAGGAAAGCAACCTCAACACCAGCTTTTGCCACAACAGAATTTTACTTAGATGTGGCAAATAAACACAACCACAAATGCTGAGAACATACAATAAATTTACATACACCCAGCCCAAAGGCTGAGACCCTTGTGCTGCACAGCACAGTGCCTTCTGATGGATGAAGGTAGAAAGTGTAGTAATTTACCTACTGGCGGGCACAAATAAGCTGCCACACCTTACCTGTTATTACCCTAAAAGAGCAGGAATCAGTGTATGGGTGTACGGTATAGGCTAGCCTGCGGTGCAGCACAACAGCTTACAATCTTACACAAATCTACAGTATTCCCCCTCCCATAACTGGTCCTGTAGCACGTGCCTGAATATTCCTTCTGATCAAAATGCCAGTCTGGCTTGAGTTTGTCGGATTTTATCAGCTCTCCAATGTGAAATGTCACTGTTAGTTGTGGAGTACTTCCAATAATCAGTAACAACACTTGTGGCCTGACACAAACAGAGACCCTAACTAACTATAGGCCTGGACTCAGTCTCAAGGCGCCAACACTGAAATGAGGTGCGTGCACGATCTTACCGACCCGGGTCTGCTTTGTATCCGCTGGTGACTCTGAACAGAACAAATGTCTCTCCAACGAGCATGCGGTCTTGCCGTATATGTTGTTTAGTTCCTCTGCTCTCTTCAGCCTTCCTGGCAGCAATCTCATCAGCTTCACTCAGCTGCAGCTCTGGTTACTGAGAGACGCTTTCACACCTGGATGTCATCAGATTCTCAGCTCACACGGCTCCTTATTGACCATGCTCCAAAACATGGCTTCTCTCTCTCCTTCCTGTTCTCTCTCCAACCCTGTGTGCAAAACCCCACCTCTTCTTGAATATACAAATATCTATGCAGTCTGAGGCTGTGTTAAAAAAACAGTGACATCTTGTGGCTAAACCGCAGAATGTCAGTCAAAACATTAATTTACTTCCACACAAACAGTGTTCAAACAATGAGAGCTGTTTCCCCATCTCACATCTGATCTGTCACTGTGTGGGATCGCTCAGTTCAGCTGCCTGCTCACATGGAGGGAAAATATATTCAAAATATATTTTAAAAATATATTTTTCTCAAATATATTTTTACATATATTTGAAATGCTCCATTTTTGGGCGTATTCTATATATTTCAAAAAATATATATATACACACACTATATTGTCAATCATGTGATTCAGGTGTTCTAATCCTATCCATATCATGTGATTCAGGTGTTTCAATCCCCTCCCAATCGTGATTCAGATGTTCCCATCCATATCATGTGATTCAGGTGTTCCAATCCCCTCCATATCATGTGATTCAGGTGTTCCAATCCCCTCCATATCATGTGATTCAGGTGTTCCACTCTCCTCCAATCATGTGATTCAGGTGTTCCAATCCCCTCCCAATCGTGATTCAGGTGTTCCAATCCCCTCTGTATCATGTGATTCAGGTGTCCCAATCCCCTCCATATCGTGTGATTCAGGTGTTCCCATCCCCTCCATATCGTGTGATTCAGGTGTTCCAATCCCCTCCATATCATGTGATTCAGGTGTTCCAGTCCCCTCCATATCATGTGATTCAGGTGTTCCAATCCCCTCCATGGACACAGGTGTATACAATCAAGCCCCTAGGCATGCAGACTGCTTCTACAAACATTGGTGAAAGAATGGGTCGCTCTCAGCTCAGTGACCAAGCGTGGTCCCGTGATCAGTGGCCAACTGGGCAATAAGTCCATCCGTGACATTTCCTGGCTACTAAATATTCCACGCTCAACTGTTAGTGGGATTATAACAAAGTGGAAGCAACTGGGAACAACAGCAGCAACTCAGCCACCAAGTGGTAGACCACGTCACATGACAGAGCGGGGGGGTCAGCGCATGCTGAAGTGCACGGTGCGCAGAAGTCACCAACTGTCTGCAGAGTCAATAACTAAAGACCTCCAAACTTGGTGTGGCCTTCAGATGAGTCCAACAACAGTGCGTAGAGAGCTTCATGTAATGGGTTTCCATGGCCGAGCAGCTGCATCCAAGCCTTCCATCACCAAGTGCAATGCAAAGCGTTGGATGCTGTGGTGTAAAGTACGCTGCCACTGAACTCTAGAGCAGTGGAGACGTGTTCTCTGGAGTGACCAATCACGCTTCTCTGTCTTGCAATCCGATTGATGTGTCTGGGTTTGGCGGTGGCCAGGAGAACGGTACTTGCCTGACTGCATTATGCCAAGTGTAAAGGTTGGTGGAGGGGGGATTATGGTGGGGGTTCCTCAGGGGTTGGGCTTGGCCCCCTAGTTCCAGTGAAGGGAACTCTTAAGGCTACATTTTGGACAATTTCATGCTCAACTTTGTGGGAGGAGTTTGGGGATGGCCCCTTCCTGTTCCAACATGACTGCACACCAGTGCACAAAGCAAGGTCTATAAAGACATGGAGGAGCCAGTTTGGGGTGGAGGAACTTGACTGGCCTGCACAGAGTCCTGACCTCAACCCCATAGAACACCTTTGGGATGAATTAGAGCAGAGACTGCGAGCCAGGCCTCCTCCCCCGACATCAGTGCCTGACCTGACAAATGTGCTTCTGGAAGAATGGTCCAACCTTCCCATAGACACCCTCCTAAACCTTGTGGATGGCCTTCCCAGAAGAGTTGAAGCTGTTATAGCTGCAAAGGGTGGGGCCAACTCAATATTGAACCCTACAGACTAAGACTGGGAAGCCATTAAAGGCTATGTGCATGGAAAGGCCGCGGCCCAATACTTGGGGCAATATAGTGTATATACGGGGGGGGGCTGGGACAATACTTGGGGCAATATAGTGTATATACGGGGGGGCAGGGACAATACTTGGGGCAATATAGTGTATGTACGGGGGGCAGGGACAATACTTGGAGCAATATTATGTATATACAGGGGGGGGGGCGGGGACAATACTTGGGGCAATATAGTGTATATACGGGGGCGGGACAATACTTGGGGCAATATAGTGTATATACGGGGAGGCGGGGGGACAATACTTGGGGCAATATAGTGTATATGTATAGGGGGCGGGGACAATACTTGGGGCAATATAGTGTATATATGGGGGGGCGGGGACAATATTTGGGGCAATATATTGTATATATATGGGGGGCGGGGGACAATACTTGGGGCAATGTAGTGTATATATACGGGGGGGGGTGTGGAGACAATACTTGGGGCAATATAGTGTATATATGGGGGGCGGGGACAATACTTGGGGCAATATAGTGTATATATGGGGGGGCGGGGACAATACTTGGGGCAATATAGTGTATAAACGGGGGGCGGGGACAATACTTGGGGCAATATATAATGCATATATGGGGGGTGGGGACAATACTTGGGGCAATATAGAGTATATACAGGGGGGCGGGGACAATACTTGGGGCAATATAGTGTATATACGGGGGGGTGGGGGACAATACTTGGGGAAATATAGAGTATATACAGGGGGGCGGGGGCAATATAGTGTATATACAGGGGGGCGGGGTATAGTGTGTCACGGTCGCCCGATCGCCGCCACCAACATGCGACAATCGCATGACCGCGACCAACAATAATACGTCACGCCCGCGGTGTCAGACCCCAGACCTTCTCACCAAACTCGTGACCAAAGGACCGGCCGATCTAAAACCGCGATGTGATGTGCGTAACAATGCCACACTCAGCTGCGCCCTGCACAACGATTGTCCAGCTAATGAAATGCAATCGACGCACCGGCAGCCTGAATGTGCTTGTTACTGGGTCGGGTTAATTATGCAACTAACCCTTCACTGCCACCACCCCTTTTTGTGCAGAGAAAGGGGAAACTCTCTTTATCCAATATATACTGTAATGGTTGAAAAGTCGCCTGTCCAATACGATTCCCGCAGGCCGATTGGGCAGAGAATTAAACAAACACAGTAGTCTCTCTTCAAAAGGCAGGAATTCGTGAATTGCAAGTAAGCGCTTAGAAACAGTTTAACACTTTCAGAAAGAAAGATTTATTACTAAAAGAGTCAAACAGGTGCAATAAAATATTTACAAAGAAAATGTAACTAGATATATATATTTATATATAAAAACAGCATATCACAGCCAAGAGATAACAGGGAGAAGTTAAAAGGTTAAGTTACTTGCAATGTTAAGCCTTGAGGTAGCAGATCCAAGTTGCAGAGCAAAGGGTCTTTGATCTCCTGCTGTTAGGATGTTAAAATTAGGAGATGTCTTTAGCTTATCCTCAGGTCTACAGCCTGTGCTTTTTTAAAGTCCCCCAGCAGGGGGGTGCCTTTGAGTAACTGGCCAATACTCTGTTTGGGGAGGGATCTCGGGCGGACTCTGAATTAAAACCAATATCTTCATAATCCATGATATGAAACGCAGGGGACAAACTGACTTGAGGAATGTTCATTTCATTCTGTCACCTTAAGATGTTAGGTTTTATGAGGTTAGAATCTCTTTCAATTCCTTCCACGTCTGTCACATGTGCTCAGGGTGAACCTGCTCTCATCTGTGAAAAGCACAGGGTGCCAGTGGTTTACCTGCCAATTCTGGGGTTCAATGACAAATGCCAATCCAGCTCTATGGTGCCGGGCAGTGAGCACAGGGCCCACTAGAGTACGTTGGGCCCTCAGGCCACCCTCATGAAGTCTGTTTCTGATTGTTTGAGCAGAGACATTCACACCAGTGGCCTGCTGGAGGTCATTTTGTAGGACCCTGGCAGGGCTCATCCTGTTCCTCCTTGTACAAATGAGCAGATACCGGTCCTGCTGATGGGTTAAGGACCTTCTATGGCCCTGTCCAGCTCTTCTAGAGGAACTGCCTGTCTCCTGGAATCTCCTCCATGTTCTTGTCTCCTGGAATCTCCTCCATGATCTTGAGACTGTGCTGGGAGACACAACAAACCTTCTGGCAATGACACGTAAGAGGGTTGCTGCCTATACTGTGGCCTTGGTGGGCACTTTTGGCAGTCCTGTCCGGTCCGTCCGGGAAACGTTCGCACCTGAGATCCTGTCGGGGACAGATCTTGGGTGGAGTCTCCTCGTCCCCAGCGTTCCGCAAAGATAAACCACTGATCACCGTTGTCCTCTCCTGGGCGGAGGGCTCGGTGACGGCCCAGGCGTTGGTAGATTCTGGGGCCGGCGGGTTGTTTATGGACAGCTCGTTTGCTGCCCAGCACTCCATTCCCCTGCAGGCTTGAGTTACCCCATTGGTTCTCGAGGCGATAGATGGCAGGCCCCTGCAACCGCCGCAGGTTACCCACGAGACTAGGCCACTTGAAGTAGCTATTGGGGCTGTTCACAGGGAGTTGGCCTGTTTTCAGGTAATTTCTTCCCCACACTATTCAGTGGTTTTGGGGTATCCCTGGCTCCAAGGCACAATCCAACCTTTAATTGGCGAACGGCTGAGATTCTCTCGTGGTCTCCACAGTGTGGGGGGCCGGGTGCATCCGTGGGCCGGTTAAGGTGTCGTGTGCCTCCTCAGACTTTGTGTTGCCCTCCGATTATGGGGAGTACCTGGACGTGTTTAATAAGGTACGCGCTGGTGCCTTACCTCCTCATCGTCCTTACGACTGCGCCATATCCTTGCAACCCGGTGCCACTCCTCCGCGTGGCAGGGTGTATCCTCTCTCGGTTGCGGAGAATAAGGCCATGGAGGAGTACGTTGCGGATGCGCTTTCCCAGCGGCACATTCGTAAGTCTACTTCCCCAGCAGGAGCGGGCTTTTTCTTTGTAAAGAAGAAGGGTGGTGAATTGAGGCCTTGCATCGATTATAGGGGTCTTAATCGTATCACCATTAAGAATGCCTACCCAATTCCCTTGATTACTGAGTTGTTCAACTGCCTTAAGGGAGCAACAGTCTGTACTAAACTCGACCTTAGGGCGGCGTACAACCTCGTACGGATCAAACAGGGGGATGAGTGGAAGACCGCGTTTAACACCAGAACCGGTCACTATGAATACCTGGTGATGCCCTTCGGGTTGTGTAACGCGCCCGCGGTTTTTCAGGACTTCATAAATGATGTCCTTCGTGACTTGTTGCAGCAGTGCGTGGTAGTTTACTTGGATGACATCCTGGTTTACTCTGCCTCCATGGAGTCCCATATCCAGGATGTCAAGCGGGTGCTGCAACGATTACGTGAGAACAAACTTTTTTGTAAACTCGAGAAGTGTGAATCCCATCGATCCCAAGTTGCTTTTTTAGGCTACATCATTTCTGCGAAGGGATTGTCCATGGACCCTCAAAAGGTTGCGGTGGTTTTGCAGTGGCCTCGTCCCAATGGTCTTCGGCCCATTCAGCGCTTTTTGGGTTTCGCCAACTACTATCGGAAGTTCATCAGGAACTTCTCCACGCTGGCAAAGCCTCTCTCAGACCTAACCAAGAAGGGCAGTAATCCTCACGAGTGGCCATCCGAGGCCATCGTAGCTTTCGAGGCTCTGAAATCCGCCTTCGCTTCGGCTCCGATACTGTCTCATCCCAATCCTGGATTGCCCTTTGTCCTCGAGGTTGATGCATCCGAGACGGGAGTAGGCGCTCTCCTGTCTCAACATCGGTCGCCCGATGGACCCCTACTTCCCTGTGGGTTTCTACTCCAGGAAGCTTTCCTCTGCAGAGTGCACTACCAGATTGGAGATAGGGAGTTGTTGGCAA